AATCCGACTGTCTCAAATTTAGAACACACCCACACCGAATTTACCTCCGAGAACATACAACACGCAACAGTCATTCTTCCACCAACCCGAACACGGAATAGTCTACTCTCTAAAAATTATACTCTATATCGATGTGAAGTTGAATGTTCAAATATATTCCAAGTTAAAGAAAAGAAACTCAGCTTAGTATCCCTAGCATCTTGAAAAGTCGTAGGGAACCGCGAATATCAAATACGCGGAAAAACACGACAAGAAATTGCAATTGTTTGAATTTAAAAAAGAATTGACTTTCGGTAGAAAAAGAAGGTCGCCACTATATTTTTAAATGAAACTAGGTAATTTTAACTTGATAGTATCGTAGGCGACGTCGAGACGAATTCAACGATCTGCCACACGATGATCTTCAGATGATATGGAAGGAAAAATTGTCATGCATCGATTGCCACAATACTGTAAATTCTCCCTAATTTTCCTTCAGCTTGTAAACACAAATGGATAATTTGAGAAGAGGAGATGCTATTATTCGAGCCATGCATCTCGTTTTTATAATTGCTGACAATCGATAATTATAAAAATGAGCCGCGAAGCTCGAATAATCGTATCTCCACTTCGCAAACTGTACATTTTTGTTTACAAGATGGTGGAAGATTGGAGAGTATTTACCGTATTTGGTTTTACATAAATTCTTCTTTGTTCTGCGTTAAGATCTGAAATTGAATAAAAAAATGAGCATTTATAATGTTTACGATCATTTGTTTATGTTTACATGCGAAGCCTTGATGTTACGTATCGCTGAATTATTTCAAATATTGTGGCAATTAATTCCTGACAATTTTTCCTTCAATATTATCTGAAGGTCATCATGTTGCAGGTCGTTCAATTCGTCTCACCTGCAATATTACCAAGTTAAAATTGCTTAGTTTAATTTCAAAATATAACAGTGACCTTGTTTTCTATCGGCAATCAATTTGTTTTTAAATTCAAACAATTGCAATTTCTTGTCGGTTAAATACTAACTAACTTTAATAGGAAACATATTTTTGTCAAATCTGGGGAAAAGTAGGAACTAATTTGTGACTTACCCTGTGTGTTTAATTATTATAACTATGTACATATATTATATATAGAGAGAGAATTTATATATATATATATAAATTCTCTCTCTATATATAATATATTATTTGCTGTAGTATTATAGCACAATATATATATTGTGCTATAATATTACAGTAAATAATTATCCCTCGTTAATATTTCGTAAGTGAATTTCTGATTCAAAGACAATATTCAAAGATAATTCTTTAAACAAACTTTTCTATCACGGTTGGAAAATTACATTTCGTGTTGAAATTATATAAATAAAGTTATATTATATTACATGAAAATGAAAATGACATTATATTAAAATAAAAATTTGTTTAAAGGATTGCCTTCAAATCAGAAATTCAGCCTCAAAAGATAAACAAGGGACAATTACTTGCTGAAGTATTGTAGTAGAAAGTGAAAGGTAATCTTTTTGTCAACTATTATGACTCACTTACATTTTTTCATAGCGATCCCGTAGCTCTTCGCATCGAGAAGTCCACCGATCTGCGTTACGTTGCAGTATCTCTCAGTTATGTACTCAATCGAGCTCGACTCCATCAAGAAGGCATAGTCTTCCCTGAGTACCTTCTTCAGACCGGAGTCGTTGTCCGAGGTCAGGACGTCTTTGGAGTTCGCTTTCATGTAGTCGTACATCTGCTTGTACGTCGGGTAGTTGGAATCCTTGGAATGGGCATAAGTCTTTCAAAAAACTGAATTAGAATGGCCGGCTCCATCTATCATTTGCCTAATCCGCAACGCGAACACACTAATATACAATTAGTAGAAGGATCTAGACACTGTGGGCGCCCTAAGTTAAATTGTTTGATTGGCTGAGACGATGCTAGACAACATTGAGTTTAGTTCTCTGTTATATGGATTTTTAATAATATGTGTAATTAGTAGATCGTGGATTCATATGAAAGCGATGATCTTTTGCATCGGTTCCAAGAAGCAGCGGGCACAGAATAATTGCTTTCTTATCCCAATAGCTTTAGTAAATTGGAAAAACAGTGTAAGAATATTCTTAACATCTTCTAAAGCTTTTACTGTTTTGTATTTCACTCATTCACTTTTGTGATAAATATATAAAATCCGAACTCCAATAACACTGTCCGACACGATTTTTGAGTTCCTATAGCCACTATGAAATTCTTGTAGAGTTTCGCTCCCTGAACACGAATCCGAAAACCGAATTGCTCCTTCACCCTCAGTTTTTTAAATAAACGAACTTTTGTAAAAACCCAACATTTTCGACAAAAATGAGGTATTGCATGAAAAGTACAAACGTTAGAAAGTTCTAATTGGTGTTAAAAAATAGAGGAGAGTTTCTCGAATATAGTGGCATGCAATTTATTAATTGTTTTTGATCCTAAATAGCAATAAATTAATGTCAAAGTTTAAAAAGGTGTCGACGTGAGCAGTTTCTGCGCAATATTTTTGTATTTTTACGAAAAGTTTTTTGTTCGGCACGAAAACTCTACCCAGGATCGGATTCTGT